TTTTAGGCCGCATCCAGTATAATGGATTTTTAAATTATGAAAATTTGAGTTGGAATTCAAGGTTTCCGTCAAAAAATGCCACCTTGTACCGAGTTTCAAGAAACGTCCAGGAGTGTATTGACAACAGCAATCGTGATCTTCTGCCATCAAGTCGAGGCGATACACTTGAAGGCGCTCCGAGCAACTATTCCACCTCGGAAGTATTGCACAGTATCAGACGGAATTGAAGGCGCACTAACGTAGGCAAATTGACTGGTAGCGTTTATCGTACGATCTGCGACTCCTGTTTGCTCGATTTTTTTAAAACTCGATGCCAGGTGGCATTTTTTGACGGAAAACCTAAATTTCAACTCAAATTTTCATTATTTAAAAATTCAAGATAAAGGATGTGGTCTAAGATGCTATCTCGGCACCTGTTCGATTCCTTTTTGTCAGACTTGGTGGCAATGGATGTTTTTCGCATGAGGTCGAATTTTCATTCAAAATTTTAAAATTCAAAAGTCGGAGATGGCGCAGTGGCCGAGAACACTATCTTGGTGCCTTCGAAATTATATGACTTTGCAATCGAGGTATCTAACCTTTTTGAGTTCAGTTTCAAATCGATGTACTCTCGGCTAACTTAAACCTCGATATCGGCTCGCTCTTCAACCGTTATGAAATGAATCTGTTCGTTTTGTTCGTTTGTTTTTTTTTTTAAAAATTATTCATGCATTTATTTTTTTATTCCATTTCAGACAGGAGTCGCATATCGCACAATCTATAGGACTCTACGGATGCCAGTCAATTTACATACGTTAGTGCGCCTTCAATTCCGTCTGATACTGTGCAATACTTCCGAGGTGGTATAGTTGCTCAGAGCGCCTTCAAGAGTATCGCCTCGACTTGATGGCGGAAGATCACGATTGCCGCTGATATTACACTCTGACGCGTGCGCAGTTACACATTTTCTCATCACCAAAAGTGAGATAAAAAACGTCCATACCTCAATTTGCGACGTTGCAACTTTTTCACTGCCTCTTTTGAATGAGTAAACGAATATGAACACTTGAAAATCTGCCGTGTTTTTTCCGAGATAAGACAAAATACATCATTTGAATGTGCTGCTAGCGAGCTGATAATAACAGTGATTGTCATTTAGTACGTTTCGGTGCCTTATTACCTCTTCGGGCTCATTTACGTCCAGGGTTATACAATTTCGGGTCTGCTTCTGTTTGTTCGAGGGTTCCTATACCCCGACTTCTTTTTCTCCTGTTTAATTAAAGCATAGACTTTAGACAATAGACGTAAATGAAACATTCAAATTGAACAATCGCACTGCACATATTCGTTTACTCGTTCAAAATAGGCAGTGAAAAAGTTGCAAAGTCGCAATTTGAGGTATGAATGTTTTTCATCTCACAGTTGTCGGTGATGAGAAAATGTGGAAATCCACACGTTCTGGAGTGTAATGTCGGCGGCATCTTCTGCCATCAAGTCGAGGCGATACGCTTGAAGGCGCTCCGAGCAACTATTCCACCTCGGAAGTATTGCACATTATCAGACGAAATTGAAGGCGCACTAACGTAGGCCGTATTTAATAAAGTTTAGCAAAGTTTTTAAATTATTTCATTAGAGAAAAAAGTGACTTGATTTAGGCAGAAACATTCTTGAGTATGCCGGCGAGAAGATTTTATTTTGAATGAAATAGCTGAATGAAAGCGTGGTTCCGCTTTATGTAGGCGACGTTTCTTTTTATATAAGCAACTTTTCTTCTTTGAACATGCATTATTTTTTTTATTGATTCATAAGGAAATCTTCGCGAGGGTAAATTTGAGCATATTTCTGTTTGAATCAAGTTAATTTTTCCAGGGTGTTTACTAAAACAGGCCGGTCAAAAATAAGTACTTTTTCAGTGCATTCTCGAGAAATTCAGTACCTCCTCCAACAGAAAATTTCCGTACTTTTTCAGCACCTCCATTTGAAGAAATTCGAAAAATTTCACAAATTTGAAATTGCGACAAAATGACAAAAAACTAAAAAAAAATGCCGGACCTTTTTGCGGAATTTCCGTTCAATCCAGTACTTCCCGACCGCCCTTAAAAAATCAGTACTATTTCTGGACTTTCCGGAAATTGTGGACTTGTAGATACCCTGTTTTTCCTCTATTGAAGTTCAAAAATCATGCTAAACGACTTCGTAAGTTTTTTTCCTACAGCTCTCTTTTTGTCGTCGTCACTCGATTTAATTTGTGACGGAACTTCGTGCTTTTGAGAGATGCCATCAATCATAATAAATTGGGGTGCCTTCAATCTCGTATGATACTGTGCAACACCTCCGTGACGAAATAGTAGCTCGAAGCGCTGGGACACGCCGGCGCCGCGCCGTCGCGAAGATGTCGTGCACAGGGCAAATCTAGGAGCATTTAGCTGAGGCAAATCAGAAGGTTTATCCGGCTCAGGTATAACAAGAAGAAATTTTCCTAAAAAATAATTAAGTCCTGTTGCACCAAAGGGGTGTACCTAGAGAGTTTTAGCGAAGTTTCCTTCATGGAGTTGACTCTCCTACATTTTTATCAATAATCTCAATTATATATTTTTTTCGTTGGGCTAAACAAAAAAAAAAAAAAAAAAAAAAAAAAAAAAAAAAACAAAAGAACAAGCAAACCCTATTTCTTTCGAGGCATTTCACATTTTCATCCAAAAACGTCGTGAGCAATTGTAATTTGTATTTCATGTGGATCAATTAACTTCGGGTCTCAATTCTTGGTAGGTGGACCAAAACTCTCCTGCCGAAAAAACGTGTAAACGTAAACTACTAGAAAAAACAGGTGCGCGGACAAAATCGTGGAAGGAATGTCCTATAACCACATGCTTAATGTTATTTTTGGCATTCGACACTTTAATTGGATTGCATTTTGCAAAAAAGATCCAAAAGCATTCCAATGTCACCAATATTGTGCAACTTTTTTACCTTGCAAATATAAATCCAGCAATTGAACAAGTTCTATCTTTACTCCCAATAAACTATTATAACTTCAAGCCGAAAATTACTTTCATTTTAATTTTTTGCGTGATTTCTGTAATTTCTTGCAAAGAATGTAAGTTGTACAATCCAACAGCATCCTAGCAACATTGGAATACTCTTGGTTCCTTTCTGTAAAATGCAATCCAATTATTAATGTTCCTAGGATTTGGCTTCAGATTAACAAGAGTATAGGAAACACTTGTTTAGGGAAGACTACTGCAAGTCTATGGCCCTCATCTAAAGCCGTTTCCTGAAGCAGCTCCTTATTTGTACATAGGTCACTTATGGTTTTCATTATAACTGAGGTAGGTTTGAAGGGATCCCTAACATGATATTATAAGGAAAAAAGATTCTTTCCAAACTTGAATGAAATTTCAAGAATATGATTTTGCGAGATGGCTATTAAATTGGACTTGAAAGATAAAACATTCAAATTACTTTCATTGGAAGTTTTATTTTAATACTTATTTACACAGGATTCATTTCTTACAATTATATTACAGTCTTGACTATTATTAATTAGGTACACGAATTTTACAAACAATGCTAAACAAGTATAGCATAATATTTTTTTGTAATTATAATTATACATGGACGGATTTTTGCTGAATTTACATATGGAATAAATACAACGAAATTCAGTGTATGCAGGTTTTACCTCGGAGTTTTGCAAACTCTCGTGCAAACCATCACAGGTTGATGCCTCTGAGTAGAGATAAAATAGGGAAAAAATTCGTGCTTAATATTCGGAGTCCTTTTCGCATGTGCAAAAAACCGACAGGTTTATACTTCCAGAAATCTACGAACCTTCACCTCGACAGAACAGACGGATATTACATTCCAAGGAAGTTCCGGCCATTACGATAGTTTTGGCAGCTCGTTGTACGTAGATAATTAGGGAAATGGTATGACATTTTCCATTTAAAGGGGTTCAGTGGCGATTTTGCAAGGTGGCAACACTGTTTTTCTTCCATCTAAATCCATTAAAAAAATCGATTTTAGGTAAAGCAAGCAGTGTGACCAAGAATCGATTGTCTTACACATTTAAACGGAAGGAAAAACAAAGTTGCTAACTTCCAGCGGCCGATTATTGAAATTGATAGACAAAGCTATAGACGAAGGAGAAAAAAGAGATATGGAGAGATCCTATTGGTGGAAGCGGGTGGTTGCAATGGACAAAGGAGGTAGGCTATAGACTAAACTAACGGCAACCCACGAGAGACCCGACAGTCAGTCTATCATTTTCTCCCTTTGTCTATAGGAACCACCCATTTCAACCAATAGGATCACTCCATACTCCCTATGTCTTCTTTGTCTATAGCTTTGTACATCAATTTCAATAATCAGTCCGCAGGAGTTGCCCCTGAAGGGGTTGTACGGAGGCAATCATTTTTCAATAGAATGAGGGGTCAGAGTTTTATAAAGTCTGAAATCGCCAGAAAAGTCTGAGAAAATTTTTTGTCGGTGGAGGGGGAGGGGGGCTCAGAAATCCTTGGAACCTTCCTCTCCTCCGCATGATCCAGACTGCAAATTCAACTTCTCCTAATTTAGGGGCCTGGAGGACAAGGCGCATAAGTGCAGTTTCACACTTGCTTCACTTACCGTTCCACGGGAGTACATAAGAACCTGAACTATATGGCGGAAAGAAGGTTTCAACTGATTCTTCGATGCTTAAAAATTGGAATTTTGGAGCACATTTTTTATTAAATATGCACTAAGACTAGTTTTACCTACTTGAAATCATTAATATCTCAATGTTTTAAAAAACTGCAGTTATGTGCCTTGTTCTCCAAGCCCCTCAATTTATGGGACCATAAAGTGAACTGATCCCTACCTATATACTTGTTAATATGTCTCCTTCCTGTGTGTATTGGTTTCCTTGAGCTCATGGCTATGATTGTATGGCACTTGAGGAGATTAATAATAGAAGTGAGGAAGTGCGCGATCAATTTTTTGAGCAAATGCTAGAGCCTATGGCACAAAAATTAAACCGAAAATTACGCACTCCACATTCTTATATATTTTGTCTCTAATACCAATAGGATAACATTGAGAAGTCCTATATTTTTGTAACGAAACAACCTCATTGCGTCATTGCACCTTTAAAACTTCGCGAAGGAAAAACCTCTGTTACACGAACTGAATAGTACAGTAGGCTTTTCCGGTTCAGGGGACCGACCGCTCCAGTAAGCAGAGCTGAACTTCAGTTCAGTGCGATGGCGATTCTTGTAAGTTGGCGACACCGTTTTTCTCCAAATCAATGTATGTTAAACAATAAATTGATTCATCTCCCCTAAAATCGATATTTTTGATGGATGTAAATGAAGGAAAAACATTCTTGCCAACTTGTAAAATTTGCTTCGGTTTAGTGAAGAGAGGGTTCGTTCAACTATAATAGAAAGTCTCAGCTCACTGAAGTAAAAATTCACGGTCGATAAATTACATATGTTTCATGCGAATTCAAGTTTTTATAATCGTAAAATTGAAATCTTTAGTATTAATAACTGAAGTACTTTTGAATCACCCTGTAAACTGAGGTTTCCCCCTCCTCTCCGTGAGCCTCATCTATTTGAATTTCCCATTCAGGGCGGCGGATTCCAAATGTAACCAGATGGCACAACGCGGCTCCCTATGGGTTATTGGGGTGGTCCCAGGCTTACGGACCACCCTGTATTATTGAGGTTTTTCCTCCCTCTCCATATACTTAATCTTTTTAAATGCCCTGGATTTCAAATATAATCGGTTGGCAAAGCGTGTTTCCCTATGGGTTCTAAAGATGGTCCGGAACTAATCGTTCACCCTGTATTACTGAGATCTTTCCTTCCTCTACTTGGACCGCGTTTAGCAGAAAAAACCAAGCCACAGCAGCCACAGCCAAATTTAGCTAGGCAATTTAATTTTTTACAACAGAACGTTTACGCGGATTCTTTTGAAAATTTGCAGAAATTTGCTTTGTACTATGCAGACAATTCACTGAAATTCGCCTAAAAATCCGTACAACAGTTTTCGTGTAAAAATTCAAATTTGACAACAGCTAATGTGACTTGGTTCCTCTCTGCTTGATACGGTCCACTTGTGCTTTATCTGTTTTAATTCCCAATCGAGGACGGCGAATTTCAAATGTAATCGGATGGCACAGCGTGGTTCCCGCGGCTGTAGACAGCGCCGTTGTAGTTGTTGACTTGCTCGTAGTGGACGGGGATGATGTCGGTGTAGAAGTTGTGGTTGTGGTTGTTGGGGAGCGTCGCGGTCGTCGGGACGCCCGGGTCGGCGGCGGCGTCGCACGAGTCCAAGTAGCTCGTGTTTTGGTAGGCTGGCGTCGGTACCCGGTCCAGCTCCGCGTAGACGGCCTCGCTCACCTGAACAAACGAGAAAACCTTGATGAATGTGACAAGTGATATCGGCAGGACAGGTGTTTAGGATATTTTTAGCTTATCTGGTTGAAATTCGGGATTTGTTTTTGCGCACACCTGGAAGAGCGAAAGAATAAATCATCTCACTCAAAAGATGGTTAAGAAACCAAAAAACGATTAAATAACGGGTTTACAAACCAGAGGCGGATTGAGAAAATTGGCAACACCGGATTTCCTCCATTTAAACCTGTGGAAATATATCGATTCTTGTCGGAGCACCTGGCCCCTCCAAGAATCGATGTATTTCCATAGGTTTGAATGGAGGGAATCCTGTGTTGCCGATTTGCTCGATCCGCCAATGTTACAAACGCAGAGAGAAACATTGATGAATGTGACAGACGTGATATCGGTTGGGCAGATGTTTAGGATACTTTTAGCTTATCCGGTTGAAATTCGGGATTTTGTTTTTGCGCACACCTGAAAGAGTGAAAATATCCATCATCCTGGTAAACGTTACAGCCTGACGACAGACTATGTTTCATAAACTAGCCTGCGGGCCGATTATCGAAATTGATAGACAAAGCTGTTGGCAAGGAAGACAAAAGAGATATGGAGAGATCTTATTTGTAGCAGCGGGTGGTTGCAATGGACAAAGGAGGTTGGTAATGGACTTCCTAACAGCAACTAACCAGAGATCCTATAGCTAGTCCTTCATTTTCTCCCTTAGTCTGCAGGAGCCACCCATTTCAACCAATAGGATCGCTCCATACTCCCTATGTCTTCTATGTCTATCGCTTTGTCTATAAATTTCAATAATCACCCCGCAAAGCCAGACTCAGGGTAGTCTATGAAACATTGCCTGACGTTAGGCTGACTCACTTTTTCTAGGGATATCTCACCAAAAAATGGTTGGAAAACTCATTGAATTTTCTTTTGAAAATCGTATCCGATTTCGGCGGCAAATCATTGTAAATCTTCGCAATGATCTCTTTTCAACGTTTTACTGTTGCATTTGACTCAACACTCGTTAAAGCAGCCCCTTTTATGATGATTTGTTGAAAATCTCGTTTAGGCCTACTACAACACAATGTAATCCAAATGGGACTCATGATGGAAGGAGCTCTTTAAAGAACAAATATGAATACAACCCTATTTTCTGAAAATATGCTGAGGAGTATACATACATATATTCGTATACTTAAACACAAAACTGAAAATTTCCGATTTTTTCAAAACCTGACGCCTCTTCGATCAAAATGAAAAAGCAGCCTTGATATTAGCATACCATACCCCCGTACCTCCGGACGAGGGAAGACGGCACAACAGCCTTGCTGAAGAAAAACGCTGTAACAACATTCGAATACTGCCAAATTTCCTCTGATTTCATTAATTTTAGAATAATTTCATATATCTCCCATATATTGTTCATAACTTTCCTTCGGAATCTGCAGATCGTTTAATTTGAAGTACGAATAAAATCGCCGGAAATTTTTAAACAAAAATAAGCACAGCTTTCCTAATGAATTCTTATTTTATCATAGGAAATTTGGCAACGTCTGAGGGTTCATACGGCATTTTTCCTAGGCGCGGCAGACAAGACGGTTCCCCCTTTCCGCATCATATCGGATAATTTTTCTCGAGGGTGTCTGGCCGGACACCTATGACGTGAATCGGATCCGCTTGATGAGGCGACGCGCGTGTGAATCTGTGAAACTGCAGATTGAGTAATTCGAACCCCGATGTGAG